GATCTGGAAGGAGCGGGTCGCCACGCACGAGAGGAACACGGTGAAGCTGATGGCGAAGAGCGGCACCCGCAGCAGGCACGCCGCCTGCGAGGGCTCCCCGAAGTAGCAGAAGAGGCTGCTGCAGGTGCAGGCCAGGGAGCCCAGCATGAGGAAACACGCGTTCCCGCCCGCGGACTTGACCACAGGTGTGGAGGCATTGAGGGCAAACAGGACAGTCAGCGCCGCTATGAGCAGCATGAGAAGAACAGCCAGGGCCAGCAGCGCGCAGGAGAGGGGCTCGGACCAGGACAGGAAGTCGGTGGTGCGGTTGAAGCAGACCTCGCTCCCTGCTGGGGCCCACTCATCCAAGCCACAGGCCTGGCAGTCAAAGGGGTCTGTGGAGGACATGGACCCCTCACACACCTCGGACCCGGTAAGAGCTCTGCCACGGTGCAGGCCCGGCCCGCAGCTCTCTGGGCTCTGCTCAGCCATCACACCTGCTCCTTCCTGTGGGCGCTCCCAGGCCTGGGGTAGCAGAGGGGGCTCTTCCCCAAAGACCCCCCAGCTAAAATTGGCCCCATGGACTCTCCCAAAATCCATGGCCTGGGCTGAGACAGGGGCTTGGCTGTGTGAGGCTCAGAGCCATGGGGGCTGTGGGTGGGAAGGGGCCCATGCATCAAACAGTAACTTGGGAAGGATCTGCAGCAGCTGCTGTTGAATGGGACAGTACCATGTAGGGGGGCTTTCTGCTCCCACTGTCCCCAGAGCTGCCCCTGCCTACTCCAAGGCCAAGGGTGTTGAGGCACTAGCTGCCAGGAAGGGGTTTGTTGTTGTGGCTGGTGATTCTGAGGCAGGAGACATTTCCATATGCCAGGTGCTGGTGATCATGTAGTGCGGAAGCCCCGTGTGCCATCTGGGGCACAAAGGAAACCACTAGGTTGAATTTCCCTGGCAGAGGATGCGGTGCAGGGAACAGCTACCGGGCCGGACATCCCCTTTCCCCGGCCACAGGCAAAGGGGCTCTGTTTGCCCAGGTGGGCTCACCTGTGGGCACTACTCCCCAGAAAGCACAGGGCATGGGCTTTGCATACCCACTGGTAGGCAAACAGGAGCCAGACCCACTGCCTTCAGGTCAGCTCAGAGGTTTTACTGACCACAGTAAAACTGTGAGAGGCTGGGAATGGTGAGACAGGAACAGGAGGTAGGATGTGGGCAGGGAAGGAATGGGCAGGAGCAGACACTGTGGTGTACTGACCCGATGTATTCAGGAAGGTTCCTGGTGGACAGGCCATGCAGCTGAAGCAGCATTTGTGGCGGCTCTGCTGCAGCCTCATCTCTCCTGGCTTACAGGCCTCCGAGCACACCGAGCTGGGAGCCTGCCGGGAGCACAGACAGGGTCAGGCTGACAAACAGCAGCACTCTGGCACCCCCCAATACTGCCTTAGCCTTCAGTTTTGCCCTGCTATGAGGAAACACCCCTGAACTGGTGGCATTGGGATGCAGTCAGCTCAGAAGTGAGCAATAAATAAGACCTGGGTGCAGAACAGTACCTTGCCGTCTTCTGTGTGCCACAGGATTTTGCCTGGGTCGATGGTCAGCCTGTCAGGGTTCACACGGAATGTTCCTATCACATCAAAAGCCCACTTTGGGCCCAGCCACTTCCACATGACAATGTCAAAGCCTTTATGAATGTCCCCGTGGTCATCGAAAGAGATTCGGCTCTTGTTCAGGGTGAAGTTTACTTGCTTAATCTTTTGTAGGAGCTGTAAAACAGAAGAGTAAGAGAGGAGTCCTTCCAATGGCATGACTCCTGCCATTGGAGGGAGATAGGCTGGAGGCACAAAGGAAACCACTAGGTTGAATTTCCCTGGCAGTGTGCAGAGCTTTTCTCTGTCCTGCAGCTGCTTTCAAGCCCCCCAACATCTGCAGGAAATCCCATCCAGTGAAGGGGTGGTAGTAGAGGATGGAGTCTAGGTCTAGGTCTTGGCTGCTCTGTCTGTGAAGGGCAGCTGAAGTCCACAAGGGTCTTCAGCTGGGATTTGAGCTTTTGGGAAAGACCGGAGACCTTTGTGCACAATGGAAAAATCCTTCCCTGTGGGAAAAGATCCTCAAGGATCTTCTTCCACGAGGTTTGTCTTACCTGCCAGGGATAGACAATGCCTTTGCTGCAGGCCCCCGAGGCACAGCCCAGCAGGTCATGGAGGCCATGGGCCACAGCATACACGGCCGAGTACACGCTGAAGGAGCCTTGAGCATCGTACATGTCAGGGGCGGTGGCGAGCGCGCGGCAGCCGGTGCAGCGCTGCGTGCAGTCCAGCCGTGTGCTCCCCACAGAGTCCCTGCCGGCCTCTGCACTGCTGCCACGCTCAGCCGCAGCGCCTTCCTCCCACAGCTTCCAAGCTTCAAGGCGCTCCAGCACCTTGGGCTCTGGCTTCTCTACTGCCATCCCAATCACCGAACCGACGGTCTGGATGCCAGGTACCTGCCAGATAGCTCGAGCCAACGACCAGTCTTCAGAGGCCACCCACACCATGTCTGTGATGTTCTTCTGGACCACCACCTCAAAGAACGGCACAACGCTTCCTCTGGTGGAGAACACGATAGTGACATTGACCTTGACATCTGTGAGGATTCGGACCAGATTGTGAAGCTCCGGGTTGCTGGCATCTGAATTGGCGGGGAGGGTGCCTCGGTAGGCCACGCACACGTTGCTTGCAGTCAGCAGCTCCTGCAGGCCATTCAGGCCAACCCTGCCATAGGTGTCATCGCTGCCCAGCAGCACCACCCAGGTCCAGCCAAAGCGCTGCAGCAGTGAGAAGATGGCCTTCACCTGCTGCCTGTCACTGGGGATGGTGCGCAGGAAAGAGGGGTACAGCCGCTTCAGGCTCAGCAACTCCGTGGAGGCTTCGTAGCTGATCTGCAACGAGAGCCAGGGGAAAGGGGGATGCACTGTCCCAGGCAGCTGCAACCCTGAGAGCTAATGGCACAGGCAGCTTATCCTGAGAAAACTTGGAGCTGGGCAGGCAGTGGACCCAGTGCCAGGCGTGCTGAAGCAGGAGAAAGCTGTGATGGATGGTAAGCCAGCCCACTGACTGCCTAGGAAAGATCGTGTGACAGCACACACAGAGGGGCTGCATTTCCAGCTCTACCCGGCTCCTCAGGTCTGAGCCCACCCTCTCTGAAACCATCACTCCTTGGGATCCCTGGTTTTCATCAGCCATAGAAGGTGCACTTACCTCTGGTACAAGAAAGAGACTGAGAACAGCGGCTGTGGTGAGGGACAGCTGGGTGCTGTCAGGGCCAATGACGGCCACAGCCTGGGGTTCATAGTGTTGGAAACTGGGGAGCACCTGGACATCCTGCCTGCCTTTGCGAGCCAGGGCGCACAGCGTGGCATGGAAGTTGGTAGAATCAGAGCAGGTGTCGTAGATTTCATAGCCCAGAGTGACATTAGGGAGCAGCGTGGTGGAGTTGTTGATCTCCTCCACGGCGAAGCGCAGGGCCTGGGCCAGGCAGTAGCCGTGATTCTTGAAGGTGGCGCTACGAAATCGAGAGTGGTTGTTAGGGAGGACAGAGCGCGCTGGGGGCGCAGGCAGCGCGGGCACTCACTCGTTGCAGCCGCGCACGAGCAGGCTGGTGTCGTCCCGGCGCGCCGCGGTGTGCAGCGGGAACAGCCCGGCCAGGCGGTGATCGCCGGGGAGGCTGAACGAGGAGGCGGCGGCAGCAGCCGCGCAGAGGCACAGGCGGAGCAGCGCGGGCGGCGGCATGGCGGGGTGGTCCCGCACTGTGCGGGCGGCTCTTAACGGGGCGGCGGCGGCGGGCGGGGCCTCACACCGGGCGAGGCGGGGCCGGCCGAGGGGCGGCCCCGGGAGGCGGAGGAGGCTCGGCGGTCATGCCCGCGCGGCGCAGCCGCCCCCGCCGGGCTTCGGCCCGTGCCCTGGCCCGCGCCAGTCGGGCGGAGGCGGCCTGGCGGGAGTTCGCCGCCTCCTTCACTCGCATCGGGATGGTGCTGCCGGCCGAGCCGGGGCTTGTGGCCGTGGAGGCGGCGGAGGGCACGGCCGTGCTGTTGCTGGAGCCGCGGCAGGTGAGCAGCGCCCACCGCGCGCCGGGCGCGCCGCGCCCCGCACCGCCTGACCGCCCGCTCTGTCCTGCAGGCGCTGACCTTCACCGGCAAGTGCCGCCTGCGCTGCCTCTATGGGGCCGTCCGCCTGCTGGGCTTCGCCGTGGCCTCTCACCACCCGGGACTGCCGGTCTTCTCGCCGGCCACGCACTGCGCGCTCAGCCTGGAGGCGCTGCCCGGCGCCCGCCCGCCCGCCGCCGCCCTCCGCCAGCTGCGCGCCGCCGCCCGCGCCGCCATGCGCTCGCACCGTGTCCGCCGCCGTGAGTGCGGGACGGGAGCGCGGGCGGGCGCCATTTCACGGGCGGTGCGGGGAGCGGCCATTTTGTGCGCGGGGCGCTGCGCAGCGGGTGGGTGCCATTTCGCGGGCGGGCGCGGGGCTGAGGGTGATGATGGCGGCACTCGGCTCTTTCAGCGGCGCGGGTGAAGGTGATGGCTCGGTTCTCTCCCGACTGCGCCGTGGTGCTGCTGGAGCACCTGGACACGCCGGTGACGCGGTTCCTGCTGAGCCACCCGCCGCTGTCGCGGTTTTTCGAGCCCCAGGTGAGGCGGCGCGGTCAGTGCGTGCTGCGCCCTGTGCCGTCCCCGCACCGCCCGTGCAGAGCCAGCGGCGGCCGCCCCTGTTAGCGCCAGGCCGTGGTCTCACGCAGCCCGTGCTGAGCTCACCCTCTCGCCTAGAAAAAGGAGGAGTCAAACTTCACTCCAGAGCACGCGGTCCTGGCGTCCGTGGGCATCGTGAAGTGCAGCCCCGACTGCGGGCTGCAGGTGTCGGAGAGCATGTGCCTGGCGCTGGAGGAGCTGATCCAGGCCTGCTGTGGTGAGTGCAGGCATTTGGCCGTGTTGCGGCTCTGGTAGTCTGAAAAAAAGAATTCATGAGGTTTTTCACGAGTTAAAGTTGAGAGAGTGCCCTGACCAAAATATGTGTGCCGAAATGATGAAGTTAGGGAGGAGTATTCAACCGACCACTTGTATCTGTGAAGAGCAAAGAGGAGGAATTAAATCAACCATGCTGATTGAGGGTCGAATTTTTCTTTATGAAGAATGTGCATTTAGAGCTTAGGCATTGCCTAGGGTGGGTCAGTGATGCCCAAATGCATCAGTGCAGTTCACACTCTGCTTTTCTTTCTAGAGGAAGATGAAGGTGTCCCTGTGGTGCTGGTGTGTGGCCCAAAAAACACTGGGAAATCAACATTCAACAGATATCTAATTAACCTGTTACTGAACCGGTGAGTCTTTCCATGTTCTGCAAGCCTACTTCAGACTCTTCACCCTGAAAAACCCTTGCAAGCCCAGTAACAGATGTGTTCAGGCCATGTAGTTCTTTTGGGGGATGCTAGCACCCAGTCTCTCTCCCTGCAGCCTTCCTGTGGTGGAGTACATGGAGTGTGACATCGGCCAGACAGAATTCACTCCTCCCGGGTGCGTGTCCCTGAGCAGCGTCACGGAGCCAGTTCTGGGTATGTGTTCTGCTCCTTCTGTGGTTACAGAAACCTGTTCCGTTTCTGAAATGAACAGGGTGTTCTGGGCAGAGGCTCTACTTCAGAGGAAGCTGCTGCCACAGAGTTTCCTGGGGAGAGTAAACCAAGGGCTGTTCAAGATTTCTTGTAGGGACATTTAAGCTCCCTGAGTAACATGGAACTCTTCTTCTACTTTAAGGAAATATGATGTCGTAGAGGTGGTAGTACATGCTAAGATGTATCAAAGGGGATGTTCTGCCTTTCAGATGTGAAAGGTCTCCTTGGGAAAATCTGTATCCATAGATTAAACTTGAGAAACCCAAAGTGGATCTGCACAGATTGGGGCTGCTGTGATGAGTGGAAAAAACAGAATCGAAGAAACTGCTGGAGTTTGTAGTCATGCAGATTTGTATTACTGTCTAAAAGGATGTTGTCAGGCTGGTTTACTGTTTAACCAGTTTGTCATACACTGCTCTTTAAAGATTTGCAAGTGTGTAAGCAGTGATTTCAAACAAAAAGCCGCACCCAGTATTAACCCGAAACAAACAAAACTTCCCAGCCTGCAAGTGACAAACCAGTTTCCCCTACTTACCGGCTGTGCAAGGACAACTGGCATGTGGGAGGAGTGTGGATTATTTCAGGAGAGGAGGCATGTGGGTGCTCAAGGACGGGAATGTTTTGGTTTGTCCTGGGGAAGGCACTGGATGTTCTGTGCTTTCTTTGCCAGGTCCCCCCTTCACTCACCAGCAGATGCCCAGTAAGATGGTGTATTATGGGCAGACCAGCTGTGAGCAGGACACGGAGAGGTACCTTGATGTTGTGAAATACGTGTTCAGCTACTACAAGAAGGAAGTGCCTCTAATCATCAACACCATGGGCTGGGTGAAAGGTAAACGGGGTCAATCTGCTCTGGAGAGGTGTGGGAGGGAGGTAACAGTGGCACAGCACCATGTGGAACACCAATTCACAGCATGTCCACCCTGAGCTAACACTGCTGTGCCACCTGTTGCAGTAGTAGCAGCAGTTGTGTGTTTGCTGTGCTCCTGAAGGTGAAGGGCTGCTGCTCCTCATTGATCTCATCCGGCTGTTGTCACCCAGCCACATTGTTCAGATGGACATGTGTGACTGGAAGGTCATGCCCCCGCTGACGTCTGAGCACATCCACTTCAGCCCCGGGCTGCACACCAAGGGCAAGCAGCAGTCCAAGTGCAAGCAGCTGGGAGTGGGCAGCATGGAGAGCTGGAGGTGCCCTGAAGGGGAGGACGTGTCAGCTCCACAGCACAAGCTGCTCTATGTCCACCCAGAGTTCCCTCGGGCAGGGGTGGCAGGTGAAGTGTAAGTAGGATGTTGAGTGCTCTCTGAGGTCTGAACAGAAGAACCACACGTTGTTCTTGACATGGGGCTGTTCTTGCAGGCGAGTGCACAGCAGCATCCTGCGTGACATGTCCATCCTGGGATACCTGGGGCACCTGCAGAGCCCGGACATTGGGGCAGTGCTCCCTCTGCACAGCCTGGTGCCATATCAGGTAAAGGAGCTTTTTGCTATGGGGAATGTGCACAGAGCCCAGCTTTAAGTGATGGGCAATTCTGTTCCTACTGCATATGTTTCTCAGGAGAGGGACAAACACTCTGTATTCAGGGTGCCTGGAAGCCAGGCTTCTGTCGAGCTGCTGGCGGGGCACGTGTGTGCTGTGTGTCCTGCATGTGCCAGTGTGTAGGTGTGGTGTGGGAGTGTGCAGGGCCTTATCTCTGAACTCTAGCTCAATCCATGTGGAGCTGATGAGCACTTTTCTCTCTTCTCTTTCCCCCTCAGGTACCTTTCAACGCTGTTGCACTCAGGGTTATTCACACGGATGTTGCTCCCAGCAACATCATGTACGCGGTGAACGCCAGCTGGGTTGGGCTCTGCTGCATTCCCGAGGAAATCCGGTGCCAGAGCGAGGGGCCAGTGCTGCTGACACAGACACCAATCTGTGACTGCCTGGGCTTCGGTGAGCACACCTGGACACTGCTGTCACCTGCTGTGTTTAGGCAGACAGCTTGCATAGTGATGGAGTTACCAACTCCTTTAAAAGCAGCTGGGGAAGTGGGATGAGTGGCGTGTATTCCCTGCTGTCAGAGACTGTATTGCAGTCCTTGGACTTTGGTTAACTGGTGGGGAACGTCCTTGAACGGTGCCACTCAGAGCTTCTCTCAGAACGCCACAGTGACTCACTTTCCAGTTCACATTCTCAAAAGCATGTACCCTGTAGCTTCTGCAAAATTCCAGTAGTTGTCTCAGTTTCCTTGTGACTTAATTTAATGTTCCAGTTTGGACTTGGTGCTCAATCATGTGTAGGGATGTGATAGTGAGCAAGGATACCTAGTGACTGAGCTTTGCATGTGGTTTTTTTTGGTTTTTTTTTTTTTTTAGGAATTGTCCGAGGAGTTGATATGGAAAAGAAGCTTTACCACATCCTGACACCAGTGCCTCCAGTGAATCTGAGACTAGTGAATTGTCTGCTCCTTGGGAACATCGCCATCCCTAACTGTGTGCTTGTGGGCCAGGTAGGAACTCACAGGAGGAGTGGGAGTTGGCTGAGCTGCAGCTGGCTGGCAGGTTTTCCATTTTCTTATTCCTGAGGCTGATGCGTGCTGGGAGATGCCTGGGCATCAGCAGATGGTTATCTCTCTGTGAAATTGTCCTTAAGCACAGAAACCTTGGGAGAACAGAATGTTGTGCTCATGTTTCAGATGCCAAAGTGGGGTTTGGTGATTGCTGAGTCCTTCCCACTCAGCTGTGTCAGCCTGGGGAGGGATGTGCCTTCCCCTCTGCTGAAGGTGCAAGTTCTTAAAGTTATTTCTGGTTTATTTTTTCCATTTTGCAGCAAGGAATTGAGGGAGAGATCCCCTACGTCACATCTGATTACAACTACAGTATCATGGGCTCAGGGAAACTGAGGAAGAAGAAGCAGCATTTGAAGAGAAGATTTGAGTGTGATTACCCTTGAATCCTCAGGGTGCTCAGCCAGGGTTTGTTCATGTGCGACCCAGGAGCCCTGGGTGCTGCAGAGGCCCTGGGCAGGTACATGCTACAGCGGGGCCAGTTTTGATAATGTTTTGTATGTTCAGTTTGTACTTTTGGTGTTTGGTAATAAATATCTATGGTAAACACTGGGCTGGTTTGGATCTTTTCCTTGGCTGAGGCTGACAGAGCCAGGAGCAGCTGCCAGTGATCCACAGTGCCCTGAGCAGAACTTCACTGTCCCCTGGGTTTGGGGAAGGGCCCGTGCTGGGGTTCTGGCACTGTGGGTCACCCATGGCTCTGGGTGTCCTGCTGGAGCATGGGAGGATCTTTATTTATTTTTCTTCTCAGCCCTTTGTCAATTAGCAATTTGCTGCCAAGGGAAGCTGGAAGTGGTGGGAGTCACAGAGGACTGAGTGCCTTGGGTCAAGTTGAGGACATTTTTGGGAAAAAGTATTCTTTATGGATAATACCAGCATGCTGGGCTCTTCCCAGATCTGTGACTGCAAAAGTAACCTGGCTTCTAACAGCAGCTCCTGCAAAATGAGGCATGGCTCTGCCTCAGCCCAGCCCTGCAGTCTGCAGTCCCCTGAGCCCAGAGCCTGTTCAAATCCCCTGGGCCAGGTCTGTGGAGGAAGGAGGAGTGTGGTGCACTTGGGGCCAGATCTTTTTGGCCGGTGGCTGCTGTGGGTGTGAGTAATCTGCAAAACTGCTTTTATCTGGTTTGGGAAGAGATTTCCTAGAACTCCAGGAGCGAGCAGCTGTAAACAAACAAACTGGGATGAGAGGTGAGGAGGGGACAGAGCTGGAGAAGAGCTGCAAGAGCCTGTGCAGTGTTGCAGCCTTGTAAAGAGTTAAACTTAATCCAAGCCTAATTATCTCCATATGGCTGGGTCTGGCAGCAAAGGGAGAAGTTGGCCAGCACTGTGGCCTGAACAGTGGCTAAAATAAATAAAGGGGCCATGGTGCATCCAGGGGGAACATCCCAGGCTGGGTGAGATGGGAGTTCAAGTCACGAGGGAGTAGGTGGAAAAAGCTTCAGGAAAGGTAAGAGAGGCAAAAGGTGTGGGAGAAATGCCCAACACTAAAAGCACTGTGGCCAAGCATCCCCCTTGATGTCACCTGCAGCCAGCATCCACCTCACCTGCCTGAGGGCAATGGATCCCAGGGTGGCTCCATCCCTTGGAGCCTGGGACAAGTGAGTAACCTGTGTGCTGAGCTGCAAGCTTGGTTCGGGGCATTTCAGGGTTGGTGGTGGTGCAAGGTGCCAGTGCCTGCTGGGACCCAGAGGTAGATGCTGCATCCTCAGGAAAGGGGAACCTCACTGATTTTCATGCTCCCTGAGGGGAGGAGGGAGAACAGGGAGGCTGAGGTTTTGGAGCATAAACCCTGGTGAAGCATTCCGCCTACAAGAACACTGTTCCGTGATCAATGGGAAATCTGTGACAGCACTTAAAATATTAAGGATGCACTAAATCAAGCAGGATTAATTTTGCAATACTTTGGCATCTGTTACCTTTGTAGCAGCGATTTATGATGGAATTTCTGGCAAAGGGTGCCTAGAAGCAACAAAACTCTGAGAAGCACCTGGTGCCTCTGGGAGGAGATGCTGTGATGAATTTGGAGGCTGGGATGGTCTTGGCCAGGCGGTTTTGCATGGGGCAGTATGAAGGTGCCATCTTTTGTTGTCTTTGTGGGGTTTAAGCCCTATCTGGTGCTTTCTTGGATTAGCAGGAGGAAAATCCCCCGGAATATCAGTTTTCCCTCTGCGGGCGGGCTGGGGGCCCCCGTGTGCCCACTGCTGCAGGGATACAACCGGAGCTCGGGGCGGTGCATTCCTGCCCCCTCAAAAGCCGGCCGGACGGCAGAGCCGCCAAACAGCCCCCTTCTTAATGCTGATTCTTTCCATCACAAGCACGTCTTGTCTCCGTGGCCGAATGTCTTCCATAGACGGTGGAAAGTGAAATTTGTGCAATGTCTGTAGGAGGCTGAAGAAAGGCCCTTTGTGCGCCCCCCGCGCGGGC